TCTGATTGCTCGAGTCAAGGCAACAATTGTTCCTTACTGAGTTATCCTTCCTCTGCTCGCTCCTATAACCATCGAAGCCTCTCCAATAGCCATCCAACGGCCGTAAACCTCCATACAACAGTCAGAATCCCATCAGCCAGCCTGCAGGGCTTCCTCTGCTAGATCCTACAGCTTTCAAAGCCTCTCCAACAGCCGTCCAGCAACCAAATCCATTCTGCAGTTGTCGAAATCCCTCTAGCTAGTCTGTAGACCCTCCTCCGCTTTAGTTGTCGAAATCCCTCTAGCTAGTCTGTAGACCCTCCTCCGCTTTTTATCATATTGATTGGACACTTCCTGCCACAAGCAACAACCAACTCTCTTATTCAGCCCTAAACGTGCAAAGGGTTTATGACAAAGTACAGAATGAAGATGTCTAGCTCTATTTCGGAGGTTATTTATGAATCAAAAACCAAGAATTTTATCCAAAAGGCTCTTGAACTCTTTACCTCTATCAAAAATCATAAACTCAATGATCATAACTTTCTTCAACGATTTCAATCTGTGTTTATGTATATGTGTGGAAAAGAAAAAGAAGAACAGCTTGAAGTATTAAAAAAAGTCAAAAATATAATTCAGAACAACACAATCCTCCAACAGCCGTCCAGCAACCAAATCCATTATGCAGTTGTCGAAATCCCTCTAGCTAGTCTGTAAACCCTCCTCCGCTTCTTATCATATTGATTGGACACTTCCTGCCACAAGCAACAACCAACTCTCTTATTCAGCCCTAAACGTGCAAAGGGTTTATGACAAAGTACAGAATGAAGATGTCTAGCTCTATTTCGGAGGTTATTTATGAATCAAAAACCAAGAATTTTATCCAAAAGGCTCTTGAACTCTTTACCTCTATCAAAAATCATAAACTCAATGATCATAACTTTCTTCAACGATTTCAATCTGTGTTTATGTATATGTGTGGAAAAGAAAAAGAAGAACAGCTTGAAGTATTAAAAAAAGTCAAAAATGTAATTCAGAACAACACACCAGTCTCATAACACACCAAGGTTATATATCATTCTCCCATCTCGCCATAATGAGATATTTAGGTCTTGGATCATATAGATTCAAAAGCTTATGATCATATGACAATGAGTAGAAACATCAATGCTCTAGTCAAATATTAAGAGGCTTTTACATCTAGACATTTCAGTCGTGCAAATAGATAAAAAAAAAATTACTGGAAAAGGAGATATGAAGCACTCGCAGAATATTACTTTCTTTTGTTTTATATGTTCCTCAGTTGAATTGTAATTTAATTTCAATCAATAAACTTATTATATGAAATATATAACTAAATTCCTTGCAAAATCTTATGAATTTCATGTGGTGGATTTGGAAAATGTAATTGACAGGCTAAAATGGAGGCTTATACCTGCTCAAAAAAAGTCTCTCTAACCATACAAGTAGTCTCACCTCCAAGTTTTCATCAAATCCCAGAGTCTGTTATGTCTCTGTCTGTCAAAAAAATAAGTCGTGTCATGGGTCATCCTAATTTTAATTATATTGCAAAATTGTATCATCATTCGTTTATAAAATAAAAAACCTAGTTCTTACGAATCCAAAATTTTTCAACTTGTCAAACACACTAGAAATGTTTATCTCATAATCCAATATAAACCCTCACACCTTTTTTTCATTATTCACGGTCATATGTAAGGGCCTTTAAAAGTAAGAATCTTAGGTAGGGCAAGTTGATTTGTCTCATTTATTGACGATCATACTAGAACTATTTGAGCATCCTAATGAAGGAGAAATCTAAAACAACCCAAATCTTCTAAATCTTTCATGACATTATTCAAACTCAATTACAATACAAAATTCTGATCCTGAAAATAAATAATGCAAAGTAATATTTCAACTTCATCCTCAGATCCTATCTTTCAAAAAATCGAATCATTCATGTGAGTTTATGTATTGATATCTCATAACAAAATAAGATTGTTAAGAAAAAGAACGAGCGTCTCCTTAATGTGTCCCGCACAATTATAATTTCTCATCAAGTTTAAAAATATTTCTGGGAGGAAGCAGTTCTTACTACGACATATCTTATCAATTGAATGCCTAGTGGGGTACTTAACTTTAAAAGGCCACTTCATGTTTTGATGAATACCTATCCCCACATCAAAGTTCCTCTTCAGTTGTACGACTTAAAATTTTTGGGCTTGTATTATTTGTTCACATCCATTCCCCAAATTATACAAAACTTGACCCTAAATTTATCAAATATATTTTTTCTTGGATATGCCTCCAGCAATAAAGGCTACAAGTGCTACTTGTCTATTATCAGAAAATACTATAACTCCACAGATGTCATTTTTTTTTTAAAAATTAATCATAATATCCCAAATCTGATGTTCAGGATAAGAGTGCAAATAAACATCAATTTTGGGATGCACATGATGACACCTACCTCACAACCTACTCATCTTCCACCCCGCTCTCTTATCCTTGTTGAGGATGTCCAACCAACCCAACCTAATGTCTATAACAAAGAACTTTGT